TCACTGCGCAGCGCCGCGGCCGGGAACAGCGCCGCGCCGCGCTGCAGCGGGGCCATGGCGGCCTCCAGGGCGCGGAACTGGGCGACAGCCTGAAGGGATGCACAAGGGAGCGGGCAGTGGTAGGGCGAGCATTACGCAACGCTCTCACTGCCAGAACAGAACGGCCCCATAGCTGTGAATTGTGGATGTCGTGCTGACAATGCCAAGGGCCGGGGTTGACCCCTCAGCTCAACGGCCCCGACCCCCCCACCCGACCGCAGCCGCCCCGCACCTGCGGCCCCGCGGCTTTGTGGATGGCAGCTGCGTACTCATCCCTGTCGGCCACGACGGGGAAGGGCGCCGCGCCGGGTGGGTGCAGCACCCACTGGCTGTAGCGCGCGCACTCCACCTTCTCCCCCAGCAGGTCCAGCACCTGTGGTGATTCAGGGCAAGAAAAGTCGAGTGGCAGGTGGGCTCAGGATTGGATGTAGTCCTAGAGCAGCTGAAGGTGGGGATCAAGGGGTGATACACCGCAGACGTGGCGGTATTGAGGATTGAAATGGACGCAACGAGGAACAGGATCAACAGGCACCCTGTGCTGATTGTCGGCAGCGGCGAGGAAGCAGGCACGCGCAGCCGTGTGCCCCCACCTGCTTGAGGGGGTTGCTGCTGCGCTCATCGGTGAGGCCCATGTGGAACGAAGGCCCCGCGTCTGGCGGTGACAGGGGGTGGGGGCGGCCGCGCGGCGAGCGGGCGTTCGACGACGACGTCAGCCGGGAGCCCATAATTCCCCTCACCCTGCAGCCGCCTCCACACCGCCTGGGGCGGCCACGGTGGAGGAGTGTCGAGATACACGCTTCCCAGTGCTCAAAGCGCGGCTGTGTGCTTCGCGGACCGCCTGTCCCCCTTCTGCGGTCTTCCAGCTGTGCGCTGCGCACGTCGCAATTGCGGGGGCGCCATTCCCCCTCCCCAACCCCCACTGGAGGTTCCATGGCTCACCAAACTTGTACCCGTCGACCTCAAACGAATGCGCGGCGCCCCCAGGCAGGTAGTGGCTTTCCAGCACTGTCACGCGGTAGCCGTACTTGGCCAGCAGGCCCGCGCAGCACAGGCCTGATGAGGGGGAGGCGTCGAAGCAGCAGGAGGGGCTGGGCCACGGCGCGGCGGCCCTTGCCACCACTTCGGCCGGTCTGGCGGCTATAGCAGTGCATCAAGCTTTGGCAACCATCATTCTTGATGCAAGGTGTATAACTTCTTTTGATTCCGCCTGCATGCTCGTGGACAGGCCATACGACCTGGCCCAGGCCTTCCTAGCACTCCATTGTGGCTGAGGCTACACAATCACGTGCTGACAAGTGCCCGCATCTTGCAATCGCTCTGCAGCTCACCGCCAATCCCGCTGCCTACGACCACATAGTCGGTGTCGTGAGACCGATCGCCTCGCTCGATCGGCGGCACGCGCGGAGCAGAAGTCGCTGGCGGGGCCTCCCGGACGCCAACCACAGCGCGCCGCCGCGCGACTGCAGCGCCGCGGCGCGCGCCGAGGCCAACACCTCGAGATGCTGATTTGTGTCGCGCTAATGACTGCATGTCAAACAGTTGAGGTCTAGCTGCGGCGGCCGCGGGCGTTCCAGCCACAATTTCAAGTGTGGTCAGGGTCCACGCAACCCGTAGAGTTGGCTGGTATATGAGAACGCCGGACGTGTGATACAATGTAATTTGATTGACACGAACACCGGTGTACGCCTACTGTGCCGATGATCAATGGCGCCTGGGTGTGGCAACACTGACACTGAAAGCATGTGCGCGGTGCTTGCTTTGTCAATCATTCCCTGCACAAAAATTACATCAGCATACCACACCCTTCACACTGGCAAGGCACCGTAGTCCTTCTGCTGTCACTGTCCAGTCCGCGTCGCGCGACTCAGCATTGATGCACAAGCTGGTCGTGGCTTGACTCCAGACTCTTCTTTTCTTTCCATGGAAAAATGTGTTATCATAAATGACTTGCAGTTTTATGGATTGCTGGTTCTTGATACGCGCCTGGTGGCGCGAACGCACCACGACGACAGGCCTGCGGCGAGCCGGCGCCACCCACTCGCCCCGGCCGGCTTACTGGGACGCAGGGCGGACAGCCGCCAGGCTTTAAGGGCGCTTTCGCCTAACTGACTCTCGCTGGCGCGTTAGCCGCTGCACGCCAGTGCCACTGCATGACTTGGGCAGGTGCACTGGCGCAGAAGGTGGACAGTTGCCAAGCTGAATCGAAGACAGGAGAGTCAGTATTGCGCGGGGGACGCGCGCCGGATCAAGCCGGCGAGTTGTTACGCGGAGACGCCCGTGTTCCACACCGTACAGACACTTTGTGACAGAAATGACTAACTGCTAGTAAGAAATTCAATGTTTGCTTGCTGCCGTGCATCAAGGTGGCAATGCTTTCCAAGCATCTTCACCTTTCTTACCCCGTTGTATTTTTCCAGTTTCCTATCTTATCCTATCCCACGCGCTCCTGTCAGGTCACTCGTTCCTCTGCACCTTGGCTTGTGTTTCTGCTCTCAATGCATTGTGAGCCTGTGGCTGTCAAGTGACTCGGACATTCAAACCTAGCTGCCACGCCCACAGACCAATTTTAATGCATGGTCAGACCTCTGCTGTTTATGTAGCCCAAGCAGCATAGAGCGATTCCTGCAATCCAACTGTCGTGATTTTGCGTCTGCCGTGACACCTGCTCCTCAATCACGCTGAAATGCAACACAGCTACATTGCCTGCAACTCCACCCTCTTGGTGTTACAACACCTTGTAGCGGTGGTCAAGCAGGATCTGCTACGGCATGACGCGCTTCAGAGCCTCCACACCATTGCAGCGCGGCCGCAGCAGCCCGGCAAGCCGCCATGCAGTGGCGCGCAACATGCGGCAAGGTTTTTCCCAGGCCCAAGCCGCAGGCGCCGACAGCAATCAACGCGTTCAATCATGCGCAAGGAGCGAGACGGTACTGCATGCAACTGAAGCAGCGCAAAAGCCCACAAGCCAGCCGTTGATACAAAGCCATCGCGGGTGCCACAAGCAGCACAGGCGAACAACAATCAAGCGGCTCCAGTGGGCAACAATGCGCCAGGCACAGCACCTGGGCCGCATGCCAAGCTGCTGGCGGCGCGCACTGGGGGGGCACCGCGGCCCCTCCCCCCAAGGAAGGGAGGACGCAGGTGGAGGGAGGGGCGGCCGGGGGGTGCCCAAGGGGCGTAGACCCTCACACGCCAGTCAGGGACTGGCCGCGCGTCGACGCGCGCGACGCCGCCCGCGACACGTCCTGCACCAGGCTCTCCACGCGCTCCAGGCCAGTGCTCAGGGCCGCGAACTCGTCCCCGACCACCTTGTCCTCGTCCTCCCATGACTCGGGAACCGCCGTGCGCGGCAGCGTGGCCGCGGCGGCCCCGGCCCCAAAGACGCCCTGGGTGTCGGGGCTGATCCTGATGATGGCATCGCAGACGTGGCCGAGGCGCGCGTCGTGCTCTTTGAAGAGCGCCTCCAGGCGGTCCAGCCGCTCCTCAGTGTACATGTGCTTGGAATCAAACTCCTGCCGCGTGCCGACCTGGCGCTCCAGCAGGCGCTGCAGGTCGGAGGCATTGAGGGCGGGGATGGCAGAAATCAGGGGGAAGGAAGGCAGGACAAGGTGGAAGGGAGGGGAGCGAGAGCGTCGCTGACTCAGCAGGCTGGCGCTGTCCTGTTGCGTGCAGCACTCGGAGAGTGCCGAGCACAGCGAGGGCATCGTCGTGACACACTGCAGCGCTCAGGACGCGCATGCGGTTGGAAGACTGGCGCTGCTGTGCCTTCCTGCCGCACCTTAGCCTCCCTCTTGCGCTTGTCCGCCTGCGCCGAATTGGCGGCCGTTGTGGTAGAGGTGAGCGGTTTCACACACAAAGAACATGTCATACAAGTAAAACATGTAGGCGATCATTGCAATACCTGCTCCTGCAGACGGACGGTGCCCGACTTGATCTGGCGGAGCTCCGTAAATATGGCGTCGTATATCGACCCCTCTTCCTCAAAGGCACCAAAGGAAGCCATCTCGTAGAAGACAGTACACAATAGCGGGATGAGTGGTACGATGCGAGCGGAGCGCCCGACGAAAGGATCAGGTTTTCTGGTAATCTGGTATTCGTCGACGATAAGACTCCAGCATCAGACGCGTAACTGTTTGCCCGAGACGCCTCCACCACGACGCAGTACTTGTGCTGGCTCGTGGTGTGGCGACGCACAGACTGACTGGGCTGGGTCCAAGGTTACCCGCAACCGCCGCGGCCAGCCTGGCGGTCCTGACTGGACTTGTCGCGACACGACGCCATCCCCATCAACCTGGCTTCACAGCCCACAGGTCCATCTATTCACTTTGCATATAATAGCCAGATTTGACGGTTACAGTATTAGGTGCCCCTTTTCCCTGCACTACCGCACAACAGCTGGCTGGTACGGTGTAGAGGCATGGCATCAGGTGCTGTCTGTGCTCAGGCAGGCTTGCCAGGCAATCAGTCGTACTCCGGTCAGAACCAATATAGGCCACTGATATCAGATACGAAAGTGTGTGTACATTTACTCAATTTTGTTCTTGCTGTGACCCAGCACAACAAAGTCAGACCAAGATGCTTGCTCGGAAATGCAAACAAACAGAAAGGTCCCGGATGCGAATTGCGTTGCACAAGCAGGCGCTTGCTGGCGCGTCAGCCAGTCATCGCGCCCAGGCGGCGCCGCTGCGGACGGCCTCCCAGTCGAGCCCCTCAAAGTAGGGGTGCTGCATGATCCGGGCGGCCGAGGCGCGCTGCACAGGGTCGTGCACCAGCAGGCAGTCAAACACAAGGGCATGCAGGGTGGCGGGTGCGCTCGACGGCCACTCAGCAGCTGCGGCCTTGTCGACTGAAAGCACATCGTGCTTGCCTACAAAAGAGAAAAAGGTGTCAAAGCCCAGCACCATCTCCACCCCCACGCAGCCCAGCGCCCACATGTCAATGGCACAGCCCATGAAGCCGCCCTTCTTCTTGCCGCACTCGGGGGCGCGGTAGCCCTTGGACTGCATCGGTGTGTGGCGCAGGCCCTCGGCGGGCACGCGGCTGGCAGACCCAAAGTCAATGATCTGTGGCTCGCCATCCCTCCCCAGCATTATGTTGGGAGGCTTGAGGTCGGCCCAGACTATGCCGTGTTGGTGGGCAGCATCGAGGGCAACCACCAAGAACCCCAGCACGCGCTGGACAAAGGCCAGCTTGTCTACAGAAAAGACGCCGCCGGCCTCCTGCCGCAACCTGTGCATTGTGGTCAATGTCATGGACAGGCACCTGCCCTTGCTGCAGGCGGGCATGGCGAAATACGAGCACCCGCGCGAGGAGCCGGGCTTGCGGCGCACGTACTGCGCGGCCAGCAGGGGTATCACGTACTGGGGACAGGCGGCCGCCCAGGAGCTCCACACGTCGCACTCCCTCAGGAAGTCCTTGTACTTGGTGGGCTCGTTGCACGCCTTGATCGCCAGCGGCAGGCTCACACCTGGCAGCTGCAGGCACGACACGCTGCCCTGCCCGCCGCTACCGCACGCCTTGGCGCCGCCTGCCTTGAGCAGGCCAGCCAGCGTCGTGCTTGACAGGGCAGCGACAGCGCCTTCAAAGCGGTGCGCGGCGGCAAACACCTGGTGCAGCTGATCCTGCTCGCCTAGGAGCTTGGAAGGCATCTCTGGCTCATCGATACAGGGCGCGGCTGTGTCTTCGCAGCGTGCGGCTGCGGGGTGGGCGCCGGCGCTGCGCTGCTTGGCAACCGTTGCCGTTGGGGCAATGTCTCGGGCGTCGTCCTGGAGGTTGCAACATGCGCCATTGAGTGGCGCGCTGATGGCGGGTGCTGAAAAGGCGCCAGCAGCTGTGTAAGCCCCCGGCGGCGATGCCTCGCAAGCCGTCGGGGTGCACGGGGCAGCACATGGGGCCGCTGTGGAAGTAGTGATGGCGGGCGCTGGGTGGCCAGAGGAGACGGTGTCACTCTTGGCGGCCAGGATGATCTTGAAGGAGGCGTGCTCGGTGCCGCAGGGGCGCGCCAACTCACCCAGGGGCCCGTCGCATGAGACGTGGCCTTGGCCTGGGGCGGCGGTGGGGCAGTCGAGGCTGCAGACATCGGGGTCTTGGCTGTGGGTATCGGTGGCCTCGACACTGGTGGCAAGGGGGGCCGCGGTGGTTGCCGGGGTGGCGTCCGCAGTTGTCTGAAGGTCGGTGGCGGCACAGGTGATTGTCGCAGCCGCCGTGGCGGGAGCCGGCACAATCAGGGTCAGCGTGAGCGCGATGACCGGCGGCGGCGGCAGCTGCTGTGCGCGCAGGTGTCGCAGCTCCTCCTCCTGCCCCGCGCAACGCTGCTCCAGCAGCGCGCGTTCCCTGGCCTCTGAAGAACGCGCCTGCTGACAAAGCAGCAGCTCGCTGGAGACGGCGTTGCAGCGTGACTGTAGGACAAGGTTGTTGGCAGCCTGCGCGGCGGCCTCGCGGCGCGCGTGCAGCAGTAGGGCGCCGGCCGCCCTGAGGGCACGGGCCTGTGCTGCGGCAGCAACAATCAAGCCCTGCTGTTCTGTGGCAGAGAGGCTGCTGGCGGCGTCAGCGGGCGCCGGCAGCAGCTCTGGCTGCTGCTGCGGCGGCAGTGCCTCAATTGATGTTCTGGCGGTGTCATTTTGGTTGTCGGCGGTCAACGGGTCGTTGACAGCGGTGATGGCCTTGGTCCGGCGGCGGGGCAGGGGTAGGCAGAGCGCACTGGGGCCCTGGGGCGCGAGGGTGTGGGCGGGGGGTGGAGCGGAAGGATGAGGGCAGCGGGCTTGCATTATGCACAACAAGGCTCCCTGGTTGCTGGCGGCATCAGGAGCTTGGCGACCAAGGACAGGCCGCCGTAGCAGGTCGTGCGCAAGCATCTGCATACATCAAGGCGGAGCAGGCGTCTGTCCTCCTACGCCACGCACCCGCGTGCGGTCGCAACGCACGCACAAAACGCACAGCCAGCAGCACGCATGCCAGCCCGCAAACGCGCACCTCCACCCACTGCTGCACAAGTAGAGCGCCTTCGGAGCCATCTGCCGCTGCGGTGCGCGAGCAGCCCTGCCCCATGGGGCCGAGCTGCTCGCGCCTGGGCTGCTCTGGCGCCCTGCAGGGCCAGCAGCAGTGCAGCGACTGCGCGCCGTGACGCAGGGGCTGCCACAACTGCGCTGCTCTGCCACCCCCTACCAGCGTCAGAATAGTCCGAAAAGTAGCAAAGCTACGTAAGAGGTGGCTTAGGCCTGGAGCTGCGTGTCCGAGTTAGCGTGACACGGCCCAATGTTCATGCGAGGGACGCACTGCGGCAAACGGGTCGCTTTTCAAGAAAACAACGAGAGAATCACAATCGAACTCAACAACAAATGCGCCGCAAGCCTTTGCGACATTCGCAAAACTCACGGGGAGCAGGTTCTTTGGCAGCTGCGGACCTGCAGGGCGGCTGGGCATGTGTGGGCCTAGTCAGCAGTGGAGCCAAGGGACCTTGTGGGCGGATGTGTGTCATACAATATACGTTGCTTACAATTGTATTTCATCAGCATGGCTGGCTGCTACTGTGGGGCAGCCTGCTGGCCTGTAAAGGGTTCCTGAGAGTTGTCGCCCGCGATTGCTGATTGTTGGCGGACCGTTGCACCCTGCTCATGTACCGGTCGGTCCGGGTGAGCGCGATCGAATTGGGCACCAGGTAGCAGCGGATGCTGCCGCTGCTCCCACCTGCCCTTGGCCAACATCACAACGCAGGCTCCACACAGAGAAAGCTGCGCCGTAGACACGGCACCCAGCAAGAACGCGCAAGGCGACGTTACAGCCAATTTCTTGAACACCCAGGATAATGCGGGGTAATGGATATTGGTCGCAGCAAGCCCGTGCCTTAGCTGCTTGCACGGGAGGCACGCCTCAGCAGGGTGCAGGCGGTGAGCGACCAACTGCCAGCTGGCACGCAGAATTGAGCCCGCCTATGGCCCACAGGTTGAAGAGGATGCCAGTGGCAGAGTATTGCAATGGATGATGAGCGGAGATGTCATTGAAGCCGCACACTGTTGGCCGCCAACAATTTCCCGGGGAAATCAGCCATGGATGCGACACGCTGCAGCACGTGTCGAGCGCTCCAAGCCTGATGAGGCCATCTTGCTGAGAGGAATGGCTGTGTGCCTGCCTAGTGGGACAAATATTCCGATGTGATCAATGTCAAAGTCACGGCATTCACCAAGTGCCTCGGCCGCCCTCACAGCTCTTTGGACGGCTCCGAGGGCGCCCCTGCCACCGCCCCAGCCGCGGCCGGGCTGCACAGCTTGCAGGCAAGGCGGCAGTTGAGGCGCATGTAGCCGGGGTTCTTCTCGCACTCCCCGGTGGCGGCCCAGGCCCCGCAGTACTCGTTCTGGTCGGCGCAGCCCTTCCACTTGGCCTTCTGGTGGTCTGGGGGTGGGTGGGCGTTGGGGCAGGAGGGCGAAGGGTGAGGCCAGATTGGCGGGTGCAATGGGGCAGGGATTGTCAAGGTACTGGGCCAGACCTGGAGGGGGTGGGGGGTAAATGGCAGGCATGGGTGGTGTCTGCCACGCCAGTGCTGCTCTTGCGCAGCATGCTGGCCGTGTTCCTGGCCCTGCGCGGCCCACGCCCCGGCTCTGCATTCCCGCTGACCTGCGTTCTGCCTGAATCCGCTGACGTGGATCCATTTTGTGGCACTCCATTTCTCCTGCAGCGGTTGCAGCACGACGAGCGAGAGAGAGCTTTGCGCGCGCGCCTTCACAACTATTGCAAGGCTGCTCCTGCAGCATTGCTTGGGGCGCCGGCGGGGCTAGCACGGCAGCGTAGGGTTGCTCCATTGTCCACCTTCCCCTGGTGCTGTCTTGCGCCAAGACTCACCCCTTTAAGTGTGGGACAGCTGGCGTGGAGGCTGGTGAGGTCAATCTCGCCGTTGGGGGTAAGGGAGTAGAACCTGGGGGCAGAGGATTGTTGGTTGAGTTGATTTGGGAGCACCCTGACATGCACGGCTGTTTGTTTTGTGGTCTTCAAAGGTTGGAGTGGGATGCCGCTCACCAGCTCTGGCTGGTGACACATTAGACAGACTATCATTGTGCGCGCGTGCGTGACATGGCAGCCCAGGTTTGGCTGACACGGGACCAACACCTGCTTCACACGACCAGCCCCATTGGCCCTGAAACCTGCACGCCAGCAGAAATGCAGCACCCCCTCCCCGCTCTCCACCCCCTCACATGAGCATGTCCCCCTTGTAGGGCTTGTTCACAAGCCCCTTCCTGGCGCAGGGCGAGAAGCTGGGGTCTGGGGGCGACTGCACCTCGGCATCGGGGAAGACTGTCTCCCCGCCCTCCTCGGGTGTGGCCAGGAACATGAGCGCCGTCACGATGCGCTGGCCGCCCTCCCTGGGGTCCTGGTTCTTCTTGTCCTGACGGGGTGGGACGGGGCGCCACAGCGCACGTGTGTGTGTGTGTGTGGGGGGGGGTGCGTGTGTGTCTGTGCGTTGCGTGTGCGCGTGCGTGTGTGTGCGCGTGCGTGTGTGGGGGCGCGCGCATGTGAGTGTGTGCATGTGTGACGTTCATATGTGGTGTGCGTACAGTTTGCCGTGCGTGCGTGTGCGCATAAAAGTGTTTGTGCATGTGTTTGTGCGTGTGTGTCGAGGTGTGTGTCATGTTGACTTCCCATCATCAGTGCTTCCTGGTCAATAATGGTGGTTGGCGGTCTCGCACTTGGCGAGATCAATTTGCAAGACGACAAGGTTGCACGACACCCGTCCAGCCCCAATAACTGTGGTCCTGGGAGGCCCATTTGCGTGCCCATCAGCACCCAAGAACTTTCTACCCCCCGCGCCCACCCAGAAGAAGTCGTAGTGTGCCTGGTACTCCTGGCCGTTGACGTAGCGTAGCACCTGGAGACCCTCCTGGTTCTCTGGGGATTGAGGGGGTGAAGGGAGTGCCCCGCAACAGCGCAGAGGTCAATGAGCTTGGTTGTCCCATGCACAGCGAGTATTACAGGTTGCCGTGCACAGGGCTGGACAGGGATCGGACGGGTTTGCTTGACGCCGCAGCAGGTTTGTCTGTTTGCTGGCGGTGGGGTCACACAGCAGTGGGTCGCGAGCTGTCAAAGGGTTCAATTACCCCTCTGGCTGCAAACCCAAGCCAAGCCCTGTCCCGTAAACTGCTTGTGTGAGCGCGCGCCGAGGCCGTGGCCTACCGACTGGCAGCATGGTGACCTGGGCCACACGCTTCTCCACTTGCGAGATCACCTGGGATAGATGGTTGGCACAATTCCCAGTCGATGGGGTGCAGAGGCAGGAGGAGGGGAAGAG